TCCCTCCCACGATACTCTGTTTCTCTACTGGGTACAAGAGTCCATTGCAAGACCCACAGAGAACTCAGACAGCATACTAATAGTTGATAAGTCAGGTTAAAGTCAGGAACAGAAACTGCACAAGGCACAGTGCTTTCAGTCAGGACAAACTCTCCTCAGCCATGCCCATAGGCAGGCCTCCCTTTACCTGGGGAATGTTAATAAGTATCTTTTAGGCGACTGATAAAAGTCCACAAGACACACCACTCCACCATAAGCCTCAGCCTGAAAGCATTCAGCTCTAGCTCCATAGGTCAGCAAAATGAACTCCCCCAACTAAGTGCCTGGAGGCACCCACTCTACAAGCAAGTCCCCTACCCAGCGTCACTTAGCTTTACTGCTCTGTGGGCTGGGAAACCCACTGCTCCGTCTTGGGCTCTTGGTTCTGCTGCCGCTGTTCCTCTGTCACTCCTCTGGAAGTTCAATACACAGGGTTCTTACAGACATGCGCTACTGCTGGCTCTTCTCTGATGGTCGTGCGAGCCCACCTCCTGCTTCTGAGATGGTTAATGTTCTAACCACGCTAGATTTTCACCTTTGTACAATTAACAATTAACTCTGCTAACATCTACAGCTGATTCATGTCATCCTATCAGCATCTTCTCCCACCTTCTCTTACCCCAGACCCAGAAGGGCAGAAACACTTTTCGGTGGGAATTACAGATTATGGCTAGTGAGAGACATGAGATAGTTCACTACACCACCTAATATCAGAATCAGCTCAATGGTAGTGTTTATATTAATTCTATCTCAATAACAATTAAAAAAAAAAAAAACATAAATAAAGCTGTGTGAACTACAGCTTTGAGGATATCCTGAATGTGAAGCGGTCATTAACTTTGTGGCGTGCATGGGCTGTTTTTGCTGGCAGCATCTTGAGGTCTTCCCTTGATTGCATGCACTCACCAGAGAGGAGACTTCCACTCAACTCTGGAAAGTGAGGTTCTGCCTGACAATGTTTTAAGAACTGTTTAATTAAAAACTTCTAAAATTTGACATAAATTAGGAATTTTCCTTACAGAATACAATTTCTTTACAAATTCTTCCTGCTGGAATAACTAAAATCATTCCTTAGAGATTAAGAGGAGGAAAAGTGACATTTTTTAGCCTCTACTAAGGAGTTCTGGTAGCGTCGTGGTTACGAATCGGGCTGCTAATCTCTAGGTCAGCAGTTCAAAACTACCAGCTGTTAGTTACATGGGAGAAAGATGACGCTTTCTGCTCCCTTAAAGATTTATAGCCTCGGAAAGCCTGTACAGGGTCGCTATGAGTCAGAACTGACTCCATGGCACATAACAATAACAACTATGAGCCAAGGGGAGTACTGTGATGTTTTTAAATCAGCAAAAGTTTGTCAGGGTTATATCCTTAAACTATATTTATTCAATCTGCATACTGAGCAATAATCCAATAACCTGGACTATATGGAGAAGAGTCTCTCGTCAGGATTAGAGAAAGAATTATCAACAACCTGCGAAATACAGTTGACACAACCTTGTTGCTGAAAGCAAAGAGGACTTAAAGCACTTACTAATGAAGATCAAAGACTACAGCTTTCAGTAGTGACTACACCTAATCATAAAGAAAAACAAAAAATCCTCATCACTGGACCAATAAGCAGCATCATGATAAATGGAGAAGAGACTGGCATTGTCAAGGATTTCAGTTTACATGGATCCACAATCAACAGCTATGGTAACAGCAGTCTAGAAATCAAACAACATACTTGCATTGCGCAAATCTGCTGCAAAAGGTCTCTTTAAAGTAGAGAGGTCACTTTGAAGACTCAGATGCATCTGACCCAGTCATGATAATTTTAAACACCTCATATGCATGCAAAAGCTAGAAAGTAAATAAGGAAGGCCAAAGAAGAAAAAATGCCTTTGAATTATCGTGCTTACAAAGAATACTGAGCATACCATGGATTTCCCAAAGAACGAACAAATATAACACAGCAAGCACTCAACAAATCCATGTTAAATAATGAAAGGGAGAGAACAACTGATAAAGCACAGTTTCAGTAACTTCTAGCTTTTTATTGAGTAGACACAGGACGCTGAATACCAGAGCAGAACTGATGTTTTTCTGATGCACTATCATAGCCCTTAGCCTCAGACTCTGCACACAGTTTATAGTCCAGTACAAGGTGGCTTCCAAAACTTCATAGAAAAACAGAGTTAAAATATAATGGAATGTTCCCTTTGTACACGTTAGATGAATAGAATGCCCTCCTTATCCATTTTGCCTGTCTTATTCTGGCTACCCTTCTTCGAGACAAACCCACATCCCACTTATGAAAAGCCTTTCCTACTAATCAATCCAGAGTTGATCATTCTTTCAAGATACCTTTTATTGAACCATCCATTTTCTTGCCCAGGCCAAGAATCTAGGAATCATCCTTAATTATTCTCATTCTCTAATATTTCATATTCAAATCTATCAGAATATCTTACTACCTCTACCTACTGAATATGTCCTAAATCAGTATCTCCTTCATCTTCACCCTAGTCCAAGACTACAACCCCTGGAAATCTGTACAGAGACAGTTTGCATCTGTTCTTACACAACTCTAATTCAGTAAACTTGTGCTGGTGTGGTGCTATAGGATAAGCACTGAATTGCTAACCACAAAGTCAGTGGTTCAAATCCTACACAGGGTTCACTATGAGTAAGAACCAACATGACAGCACTTAGCACCAACAACAACATCTGACAGACTTAAATTATATTAGGAACATCACCTAACCTTATACTTGTAGGTATGCTCTGTTTCCACAAATCCATACTCCACCTGAAACGCTATATAATTATTTCCACCTCATCCCTAGTCTATTCTCTACCCAGCAGCTAAAAGAATATTGCTTTCTTTTTGTTTTAGAATTCAGTTTATTTTTGTTGTGTATTTGTTGAAAATATACACCAATTCAACAATTTCTACACACAAAATTCAGTGACATTGATTCTTCAAGTTCTGCAACCATTCTCACCGTCCCTTCTTGAACTGTCCTTCCCCTTTAACTCACTGGCTCCTAAATTTCCTATCTAATCTTTCAAGTTGCTATTGTCAAAGAACACAATGATCAAAGCAGAAAGTCTTTACAAACTATTGTTTGATTTTAATAAAACTTTGTTGTTGACTGTTGATTAGTGCCATTGAGTTGGTTTTGACTCATAACAACCCTATACAGGGTTTCCAAGGAGTAGCTGGTGGGTTTGAACAACTGATCTTGTGGTTCAAACAGACCTTTCAGTCCAATATTTATCTCACACACAAAAGTCGCCAACAAGACTGCAAGAAGACTATAGGGGATACTTTTGGTTTAAGGTTTAAAGATTGCCTCAGGGCAATAGTTTCAGGGGTTCATCTACTCTTCATGGCTCTAGAAAGTCTGGAGTTTATGAGAATTTTTTCATTCTGTTCTACATTTCCCCCCTTTTGATTAGGATTCGTCTATGAAATCTTTTATCAAAATGTCCAGTAACGGTAGCCAGGCACCAGCCAGTTTTGGTCTCATTCATGGCAAAGGAGTCAGTTGTTCATGTAGGTAATTAGCCACACCTTTCATTTCCTCCTCCTTTGTCTGTTGCTCCAGGTGAGTAAAGACCAGTGTTGTTATGCCTTAGATGGTCATTTGCAAGTTTTTAAGAACCCAGGCCTTATGCAAAAAATTGTTGTTGTTGTTAAGTGCTGTCAAGTAGGTTCTGACCCATAGCGACCCTGTAGAGGGTTTCTGGGGAACGACTGATGAGCTTGAACTGTTGACGTTACAGTTCAACCGACATGGCAGTCCAGCACTTTAACCCACAGCACCACACCAGGACTCCATGCAACAAATCAAGAGGTAGAAAAGAAACACTAAACACATAATTAGGAAAATTAACTCTGCTGTCCCATGAAACCATGACCCTAAATCTTCACACCAAGGAAACAAATTTCATGAGGGATTTGGTTGTACCTAAGCAGCCTCAGCAGCTACTCTTTCTCATTTTTTCCCCTTTGTTACAAGCATATCTATCAAACAATTTTTGCCAAATCAACTTTTATAATCGTATAACTTATTAACAGCAATTACATTAATCAGTTCTGCAAGCCTACCCTTAACATTGTTTTTTAGCATAAATCAGATCTCATCACTCTGCACCTCAAAAGGCCCCAATGGCTTTTGATTTAATAAAAACTTTAAAATCCTTCTAAGTCCCATCTGATCTGATCAGACCCCTACTTACTTCTCTAACCTCTTACTACTGCTACTTCTGCCACTTTCATCAAGCTCAATTCCACCTCACAGCCTTTATACATAGTGCTTCCTCTTCACATAATTTACACTGAGTTTGAACCTCAGACCTTGTAGTTCAAGGTCGGCAGTTAATACTCACCAGCTGCTCCTCAGAAACCCTATACAAGGTCACAACAAAATGACCGCACTTAACAACAACTCTCGAGTCTCTTTTTCAAGTGTCAAGGTTTCCTCTAACTGTCTTTACTGCAGCACCACTGCTATCTCCATCACTCTTCTTCATATGTCTATTTTCATATTAATCACTCATCAGCTTCTCCCTGACCACCATCACCACCAAAATGAATGTAAGCTGCTTCACAGCAGGCCAGGGATTTTATACCAATCACTATTTCTCCAATACCTACGACAATCAATAAACATTTGTTGCTATTATTATCTGTAAAAATCACTTGCCAAGGACATTGTTAAGATGTCTCTTTCCCTATTTCCTGTGATTCACTTACATATTTTTTTCTCTTATTTAATGTCCCCCCTAGGGAGATAGAGACCATGTTCAACAACCTCTGGTACAAAACATTTTTATATGGTAGGTTCCTAAAAAAATATCAAATTGCTTTACTTTATAGATGTTATTTTCTTAAGAATTGTTTCCAATCTTTTGGGAACAAGTGGTCATGGCACCTCATAGAGGAGAAATCACAGTGAAAGAGGCACACTTACTTCGGGCATCTGCTTTATCAGACTCACTCTGATATAAATCATCCTTGGCATCAGTGCTTCCCTCAACACCATGGTTTATAAAAAACTTAATATTGTTCTCATCAATTTCACTCTCTTCATCAATATCATATTTCTGTAGCCCCTCTAGTAGCTTTACTGCGGCCAAATGAGCAAACCTGTAGAAAAGAATCCGTAATTAATGCACTCCACTGGCATCCTCTAATTGGAACTATAGTTTGCACTTCACTGAGGGAATTACACTCTCTACACTATGCACTGATGGCACAGTGGTTAAGCACTTGGCTGCTAACCCAAAGGTCAGTGGTTTGAACTCACCAGCTGTACTGCTTACCACCAATGAGGTTCTTTTTTCTCTTTTTGGTTTGGGGGAGGCATATGGCTATCCAATTTTTCTAGGACCATTTACTGAAAAGATTATCATTCCTCCAATATACTATCTGCATCTTTGTCAAAACTAAGTTATCCATGTATATGTGGGCTTACTTCTGGACTCTCGATTTTTGTCTTATTTATTTGTCTGCCTTTACACCAGTATCACATGGCTAATTCAGTACCATGGGTGTGATCAAGGATCATCTATAATTTCTGACCTGTATTTCTTTCCTGTTCCTGCATCAAAATGCCAGGTGTTAGTGTTGCATTGCTATATATATCTTTGAATACGGTATAAAGCAAGTACTCAGGAAATCTTAACTGTTATACTATAGCCTAGTAGTAGAAAAAGGAGCTCTGGTGGAGCTGTAGGATAAGCACTGCACTGCTAACTGCAAGGTTGGCAGTTCAAACCCATCAGCTGCTCCCTCAGAAAAAGATGAGGCTTTCTGCTGCTGTAAAGCTTTACAACCTCAGAAACCCTACACAGGGTTGCTCTGAGTCAGAATCTACTCGGTGGCATGAATTTTCAATTTGAATAGCAGAAACAATAAATTCTATTAGCCTTACAACTTCCTACATATGTTTATTACAATGCTTTTAATGATTTGCTACACCTGGTGAAAGGTAATGATATATATGTATGTATAGTTACATATGTACGTGAACGAAATAGGATATCTATAGTTGCCAGTAATTCTCTATGTCATAAAAGAAAGCATTAGGCATTTCAATTAGCAAACCTTGAGGGAAATATGCAAATTCACATGCAATCAGAACAACTTCAAAACCAAAGTAATTACCAGAAGCTTTGCAGATATGGCAGAGAATAGAAAACATGATGAAAAGATCACAATTTTCCATTAACTTCCAAAACCTTGCTTTGGGTTGAAGAAGGATAAAGTTATGATGGTGGTGGTAGTGGTGTGCTGTGGAATTGGTTCCGACTCACAGTGCCCCTGCACAGGGTTTCCAAGGCTATAAATCTTTACAGGAGCAGAAAGCCTCATCTTTCTCCCGTGGAACAGCTGGTAGTTTCAAACTGCCGACCTTGAGGTTGGAAGACCAACTCATAATCACTACACTACTGGAGCTCCTGGATGAAGTGATGTTGTTGTTGTTGTTAAGTGCTGTCGAGTCAGTTCCAACCCATAGCGAGCCTGTATAGGGTTTCCGAGGAGTGACTGGTGAGCTTGAACCACCGACCTTGCTGTTCAAACGGCTTTGCAGTCTGGCACATTAACCCACAGCACCACTCCAGGATGAAGTGATAGTTAGCCCTAAAACTGGAATCAGAACTAGCTCTACAATCCAAACAATGTCAGCAAAAGGTCAAAGAAATACAGCTTACCAGGCAGTAGCTCTAGGTTTTCTTTTCAATTAAGCAGCTGTGTTGTGAGGATACATTTATACTAAATATTCTTTTATATTAGTCTCCTATTTTAGTTGGATTTTTGCCAGTAAAAATTATGGGGTCTTATTCCCACCCCCTCGATACAGAAGGTAGACAGAGATGGGCAACTTAGACATTGGCTACCCAAAGTGGGGGGGACTACAAAGGCAAGAAGTGACTGGCTTACAAGCTTTCAAGAGGGAGTCTAGATCCAGAGGATGTGGAGGAAGGTAGAATCTCCATTGAGTAGTATCCAATCTGTCTGGGCGGGGCTGACGAAAGGAGATGGGGATAAGGTTCTAGCAGTACAATAGTGAATAATTGCTATCAGGACTGCCTGTGAGGGTTGGAAATGTAAAGGTAGACGTTTTGTAGCAAAAGGAGGGGAGTGGTTGACTTTGCAGTCCAGGAGCGGAGGTCCATGGGACCATCAAGGGAGAAGAGAGGAGTGCGGAACCCTATCCAGAGAAACAGTGACACCAGAGATGGAGGCAGAGACGATGACATGGAGAGATGGAGTGACTGGGGACTTTAGACCAGAGAGGAAGAGGGGCTGTGTACTGATGACAGGGGGGCAGGCTTTCAGGGTATACCCTTTGTTTGTTTGATGACACATGGAGGGGATTGTAACCATGGCAATGAAGCGATACACAATAGGATGAATGTAAAACTAATGTCCCATGTAAACTATCACATAATTCACAATAAAACAGTGAAAAAAAAAAAAAAAAAAAGACGGGGTCTTTAAAATGACTACTTATCATTAGTGTCCAGTAACTGCTTTCTTCCCACATAGTTGTACTATGCCACCTCATCACTGACCTTCAGTTAAAGTTTTGCTCCTAAAATGGTTGAGTCACTAGCATAGTGTTATGTGTTGTCTAGTTGATTCCTGTTCATATAAACGCCATAGAGCAGAGAAGAACTGGCCTCTAGGGTTTCCAAGGCTGTAAATCTTTACAAAAGCAGACTTCTTTTTTCCTGTGAAGCAGCAAGTGAGTTTGAACCACCACTCTTTTGGTTAGCAGCCAAGGACTTTAACCATTGTGCTACCAGGGATCCCCTATATCAGTATCATAGTCCTGTCCTTCCATCAGAAGTAGGACATGGATATAGGGAAGCCCTATGTGTCAAAAGAGGAAAAACAAAAACAAAGTGATCGTTAACTGATAAGGATCCCGGGTACCTGATACAGCAAAACCACTCTCCAAGACTTCAAAGAAATCCAACATACAAGTATTAAGGAAACAGGAGCTCACAAACAAACCTGCACAACTGTTTAAGGACCAGCCCTACATCCTATCAAACTTCATCTGCCACTTCTATGTCATACTCTTAATGTAGACTCCAGCAGTTTTGAATCACAAGGTGTGTTATCCAACAACCCCTTTCTCCTTCAAGTGTCGTCAGCATAAATACTGCTTCCACGAAAATAGTCTTCCATAACCTTTCTCTAAATTCTGTCCCCCTGTAGCTTTTCTTCATAAATCTCTCCATCTTCTATAATAATTATTCTTCCCCCAGCTTTCAAATAAAAAGGTTTGGGCATTTTTTTTGTCCTATGGTCTAAGCTATGCCTTATACATATTGGTGGTAGTGACTCATTGTTGTTGTTGTTGTTGTCAGGTGCCATCGAGTCGGAACTGACTCATAGCGACCCCATGCACAGCAGAACGAAACAATGTCTGATCCTGGGCCAACCTCACTACCGCTGCCACACTTGAGTCCATCAATGATGCCACCTGGCTGATGCATCTCGTTGGGGGTCTTCCTCTTTTTCTCTGACCCTCCACCCTACCCAGCATGACATCCTTCTCCAACGATTGTTTCCTCCGGACAGTATGTCCAAAGTAGGAGAGACGAAGCTTAGCCATCCTGGCCTCCAAGGAGCACTCTGGCTGCACTTCTTCCAAAACAGATCTATTGGTTCTTTCGGCAGTCCATGGCACTTTCAGTATTCTCCTCCAACACCACAACTCAAAGGCATCAATTCTTCTAAGATCCTCCTTATTCACTGTCCAGCTTTCGCATCCATATGAGGCTATTGAAAACACAATGGCCTGGGTCAGGCACACCCTAGTCCTCAAGCTGACCCTTTTATAGGATTTCCAAGGCTGTAAATCTTTATAGGAGCAGAAAGCCTCATCTTTCTCCCACGGACCACATGGTGAACTTGAACTGCTGACCTTGTAGTTAGCAGCCCAAAGAGTAACCCACTACTCTACCAGGGCTTTTATAAATACTACACAATGTGATATAATGAGCCAATGGTATTCAATAATGGTGTTCAGTTTAATTCAAATATAAATTTCAATATACATTTTAAAACCTATGTGGATTTCTTTGGGGGTGGGTGGGGAGTTCATTTTTTTTCATTAATGTGGATTACTCCCTCTTTATCACTTAATGTTTCCCAACAGGGATATTATAACATTTGGGTGGAACAATTCTTCATTATACAGCACTGTTCTGAGAACTGTAAGATGTTTAGCATTCTTGGATGGGGCATCATAGAAGTCAAATAATGGTATCCAGTCATTGTAATAGCCCCTTACTTTCCAAATGCACCTTTTCAATCTCATAGAGAAAGAAGCAATATTACTTCCCAATTGACAATCACTGCTTTAGAGAAAAGAGTTGGTATACTGGCAAATGATAAAGTAGCTTGAAAAGTTTCATTCTGTCCGCATTTGGCTTAGTACTGTACATTCATTCAATCCTCAGCAATTTCTGAGTCCAAAATAGCATGCAAAGCTTTAAAAACAAAAAAGAACAAAGCAGATAGGGATCTATACTATACCTCTTAGCCACATCACTGGGTTTCTCTCCTGCATTGTTGGTAATATTACTGTCTGCTCCCATTGTAATTAACCACTGCAAACACTCTATGTGTCCTTGTCCAGCGGCTAAAATAGGAAACACAAAAAAAATTATATTAGTTTTGTCTCTTCTGATATTTGCAACAACCAATAAAGTAGGCTGGGCAAATGTTATTTTCTCTATTACATTTATTCATTCATTATACAGACATTGAATCAAGTATCTACAGTGCTCAGGCCCGAAACGACAGACTTTACATACACACAGAAAAGTGACGTTCAATGAGGTTATTTAATATCACACAGCTAGGACTCCTGGCATGGCACTATAGAATCAGCACTGGACTGATTCTACAAGGTCGGCAGTTCAAACCCACCAGCTGCTTCTCAGAAACCCTATACAGAGTTGCTATGAGTTGGAAGCAACTCAACAGGACTTAACAAAAACAGCTAGTAGGTAATGGACTAAAAACTAGAATTTAGGTTTTTCTCACCTACTGGGCTATCTGTAATCACTGCGAAATACTGTATATAAGGCCAGGATGTAAGCACATCTCAGTCATAAGGACCTACATTAACTTCAAAAATCTTGCTCCATCTTGTCTATTCTTCTATTACAACTTAGAATTTACAGGCCCCTGAAATCAGACATATGCACCAGACTGCAAAGCCATTTGAACTGCAAGGTTGGGGGTTCAAGCTCACCAGCTGCTCCTCGGAAACCCTACACAGGATCGCCATGGGTCATAACCGACTCAATGGCACTTCACAACAACAACAAATCAGACATAATTACCTACACTTGTCACTGCTGTGTATTGTTGAGTAGGTTCTGACTCAGTGAACCTATATAGGGCTTCTGAGAGCAGAAGGTGGGTTTGAACTGCGGACCTTGCAGTTTAGTGTTTATCCTACAGTGAGTGCCATACCACGGCTTATGAACTATTTCCAAACTTTTTTCTAAATCTTGTCTCAAACGATATTCATTCAGTACTAATTTTATCTCACGACTCAGGGAATCTGTGAGAAGGGGAAGGGGAGCTGGGGGAGATTTAAAGAATTAAAAGACTTACTTCTCATCAATTGAAGTCAACTAACCAATAAGACCAAAAGACAAGACTATGATCTTCATATCCCCATAGTGACTGGGCACAGACAAACCCTCAACAGATGTCTATAAAGTTAGGGAATTAACAGCACAATGAAACAATAAATGAAATCACAGCTTTGCTGTAATTATCTACAGTTGGTTGTGTAGCCTCAGGCAAGACACATGAACTCTCTAGACCTCAAATTTCCCATCTTTTACAGAAATGATTTCATATTAATGAAAACACACAGCTGTTTCAAAAAAGTGCAATCAAGATAAAATAACATGATCTTACACACTGTCATACAAACATTGTTGTTGGATGCCATTAAGTTGGTTCCTATTCATAGCAACCATGTACATAACAGAACAAACCACTGCCTGGGCCTACATCATGCTCAAAATTATTATTACATTTGAGTCCATTGTTGCGGCCACTGTATCAATCCATCTCACTTGGGGTCTTCCTCTTTTTCACTGACCCTCCATTCCACCAAGCATTATGTCCATCTCAGGGGACTTATCACTACTGACACCATGTCCAAAGAAGGAAAGAGGAAGTATCACTCCAAAGGAGCACTCTGGCTGTACTTCATCCAAAACAACTTTATTTATTCTTCTGGTATTCCACATGGTACTTTCAACATTCTTCAACAACACCATAATTTAAATGCATTGATTTTTCTACTTTTTCCTTATTTAGTGTTCTATTTTCATTTACATATGAGATAAATGAAAATATCACGGCTTGGTTCAGGTGCACCTTAGAATTTCTGCATTCCATTGAGTCATCTTTCTTTGAAACGGGCATAAATATGGATCTTTTCCAATCACATGACGAGGTAGCTGTCTTCCAGATTTCTTGGCATAGAGAAGTGAGTGCCTCCAGTGCTGCATCAGTTTGTTGAAACATTTCAATTTGTATTCTGTCAATTCCTGAAGCCTTGATTTTTCATCCATGCCTTCAGTGCAGTCTACACTGATGTCTTCAATACCATTGGTGCTTAGCCACATGCTACCTCTTGAAATGGTTGAACATCAACCAATTATTTTCAGTATAGTAACCCTGTGTATTCCTTCCACGTTGTTTTGATGGATTTAATTTTCTAAAGCTTCAGCCTAAACGTGCATATGAGTAATGATTGTCCAATTCAAAATGGCCAATATTAGCCCATTTCAGCTCACAAATGCCTATGATATGGATCTTTATAAGTTCCATTTCATTTTTTCATGACTTCCAATTGCCCCAGATTTATACTTTGGCTGTCCACACTCTAGTAATTCATGGATATTTGCCTGTTTCTTCCCATTTTGCCATTGTGCCACATCAGCAAATGAAGGTCCTGAAAGCTTTGCTCCTTCACATCATTAAGGTCGACTATACTTTGCAGAGGCAGCTCTTCCCCAGTTATATTTTGAGTGCCTTCCAATCTGAGGATCTTCCGCTGCTATTCATCAAGTTTTCAGTGGCTAATCATTCAGAAGTAGTCAGCCTCTCTTTCTCCCTAGTCGGTCTTAGTCTAGAAGGTCCACTGAAACCTGTCCACCATCAGTGACCCTGCTGGTATTTAAAATACCAGAGGCATAGCTTCCAGCATCACAGAAACACAAAAGCCATCACAGTATAACAAACTGACAGATGAGTGGTGGAGCCTAGACCAACAGCACATCAATCTGGGAACCCATCTATGTGAGGAGGGTCAGTGAAAACCGGAGACCCCAACTAGATGAACTGACACAGTGACTATACAGCAGCAATGGTCTCAAGTGTAAAAAAAAAATTGGAAGGATGGTACCAGACTGGGCAGTTTCATTCTCTTGTGCACAGGGTCACTAGAAGTTGGAACTGATTTGGGTTAATGCACCAGACTGCAAAGCCATTTGAACTACAAGGTTCAAGCTCACCAGTCACTCCTTGGAAACCCTATACAGGATCACTGTTGGGGGATTGACTCGACGGCACTTCACAACAACACAACAACAACCTCCATGAGTATAGGTCAGGTTCATCAAATTGTATGAATTTACCCTTGTTTCCTTTATCAAAAAACTTCTTTTTTTTTTTTTTTTTTTAAATCTTCCACTAGTCAAGTTCTGATTGTCAAGCCATTGAGGCTAGGTCAAATGGGTACTGTCTGTAAGTCTGAAGTTCTTATGCATCTCCCCTCACTTCATATCAGCTGGATGCTTCACTCTCAGCTCTAACCCTCCGTGGCTATGTCCTTGTCCATGGGTTCAAGTGTCCCTAGGTCTTACCACACTTTGGACCAACCAGCCCTTCCTCTTTTCTCTCTCATCTCTAGGTCAACAGGAGTCAATGGACAGTGGTTGAACTGAGCCCCTTTCTTCACTGCTGCCTTTCCCCCTCTTCCACTCATCAGTAGACCAATATGGTCACCAGCAAGCTTACATGCCTGTTCATGTGTTCCCTTTGAGTTTCAGTCTTAGAGGGGAGTTTGTCCTGAAGGAACTTTATTGCTTGCTTTGATGGCTTCCTGGCAAACAGCTTGCTTATTCTTGTAGTAGGAAATCATGCTGACATTTTTGTTTTGGGTTTTTCCTGATGATCTTTCTTTGAAGATGTATCATCTGTTGCTCTTGCTGCTCCAGGCTGGTCTGCTTGTCCTTGCTAGTGGGAATGTCCCACTTCAGAAAGTTCTACCTAAGATCCTATACTCTGCAAGAGGCCTATTTCACTGGGCAAGCTGTAGAACCCATTTTAGGTATTCCAAGTAGTTATAGGCTGAAGATGGGCTTATAAGTTTTCTGTAATCATGTTTCCCAACATTCCTTTCTATACCACTCAAGTGTTTACAACAGTAGGCAAGGAAAACCAATATTCATAAGACAGTCCAGCATTTTAGCATTATTTCCCCTCTTCAAACTATGCCTAGATCCCTGCATCATAAAGCCCCGTTGTTCCAAGGTTGAGCATGTATCACTATTTACTTAGGACACGCAAACCTGTCTCAGTGTTCCCCAACTGTCTTGTTCTTCCACCTCGTCCCCCTTCTTGTATTGATTTCACAACACCCGAACTAAACCCCCCACCCCAACACCACTTTTGTGGTTACCTTATATTCCATTAATTCATCCCTCAATTTAAGACAGTATTTCATCCTGTAATCTACCTCACCTTCTCACCACCTGGATCTCTGTTCCTCTGTGTTTACCTTCTTTCACATTGTAATTGTTTTGATCATAGACTGACCTCCCAGATGCTCTGTTCTTATAATTTTATTCTGCTCTTGACTCTTCCATTTGTTGACTGAGTTCAGGGTGATGCTGCCACATACGTCATTCTCTGGTTGTTGTCTGTTCTTGTTGGTTCTCAGTCCACAGAACTTCCTTTGGAAGGTTTTCATGTAGGGTTGGCTTTGGCAAAATCCTTTAGCTTCTGTTTATCCTGGAATATTTTGATTACACCATTGTATTTGATTGACAGCTTTGCTGGGTAGAGCATTCTTGGTTGGAAGTTTTTTCTTTCAGGGTTTTATATATGTTTCCCTATTGCCTTCTTGCCTGCATGGTTTCTGTTGAGAGATGCAAGCTTAATCGGATTTGCTTGCCTTTGTATGTTACACTTCTCTTTTCGCTAGCTGCTTTCAGGATTCTGTCCTTACCTTTGATTTTGGAGAGCTGATTATTTTATGTCTTGGTGATTGTCTTTTAGGGTCTTATCCTTCCTGGGGTTCGTTGAGCTTCTTGAATGCTTATCTTTTGACTTTTCAGGATAATAGGGAAATTTTCTTGCAGAAACTCTTCAACTATCTCCTCTGTGAACTTGTGTGATTCGTCCTGTTCCGGAATGCTGATAATTCTTAACTTATTCCTCTTCATGTTGTCCAACATGAGTCTTAGATTTTCCTCTGATTTTTTTTATCCTTTTTTGTGTTTGCTCTTCTACCTTAATAGTGTTGAGAGATTTATCTTCTAGCTCAGTAGTTCTGGCTTCTATCTCTTAAATTCTACTCCTTTGCCATTTCAGAGTATTGTCCATTTCTGATATTCTATTATTAATCGTTTGGACCACTTTCTATAGGTTTTGAATTGTTTCCAATGCTGTATCTATCTTATTTGATTATTCCTGTAGCACTTTCCTGACTTCTGCCTTATTTTTCTCAACTCCATTGTAACGTATTTTGATACATTTTATTATCATTTTTCTGAATTCCTTCTCAGGCATTTCCAAAGCTTGTCCATCTTCCAGTATGTAGTGGAGGTCTACTTCCAGCTCATTTGCCTCAGTCACTTTATCTCATTTCTGGACATGTGCTGATATGGTCATTTGTTTCTGTTTTGGAGGCATATTCAGAAGTTATCTGTGGCCTTAATACTTAGATGGGTGTGTGTTTTGGTATTTCTTATACTTTCTGATTGCCTCTATGTAGATGTGATCAGGAGATGGGCTTCCCTTTTCACTCTTCTTCCTTTAACTCTGCGGTTCTGTCAGGCATCCACGTCTGCTCTGATCCTTCACCTGCTTGGTCTTGCCCAAGATGGCAGCTCCAGGAACAGCTGAGCGTCTTAAATTAGAAAGCAATGGATTTCTTGCTTCTGCTACCAATTCTCCTAGCTGTAAGCCTTCCAACCTGCTAAACATTCCTTAATAAGTGGTTCAGAGTTCTGGCACCACCCCCTGAGCTTGCTTGGTTTGGCGTTCTGTGTTGTTGCTGACAGAGCTCCTCACTGCACTTCTACCCGATCTGCCATCTTGTTTGTTCTTTAACATTTGATTCCTTGACTGCTACTTCCATGAGGATTGATTGCAGGGAACAAATTATGAAACTTCTTAAACATTACCAGCTACCTCGAGGGAATGATTTGCTGGGCCTGAGCATTCAGGACCATAGTCTCAGGGGATGCCATGGTCAACTGGCATATTACCAGGAGGGGTCAATCCCTTGAGAAGGACATCAAACTGTGTAAAGTGGCAGGTCAGCAAAAAAAGAGGAAGAGTCCCAACAAGATGGATTGGCACAGTGGCAACAGGAATGGCCTCAAGTATAGCCACTGTGTGGTTGTGACGGTGGCACAGGATCTGACAGTGTTCCGTTTTCATGTTGCATAGGGTTGCTATGAGTAGTGCCGACTGACGGCACCAAACAGCAATTAAAGATAACAACATTGTTACAATAGAATTTCACTGAAATTGCCCTAAAATTTCATAATGTGTGAATTATCTGACAGCACACTTAAATTGAAAATTAAGCACTATGCAAATATAACAGAAATTTACACTACTTACGGGATCAGAAAAAATATTTTCATTGCTGTATGTTTTTGATGAACAATTGCTTTAGAAGGTAAATAAGTCCCGGGAGCTATGAAGGAAAGTGGTCGGGTCTTCTCAGGGAAAACCCCCTTCCAAGACTAAGACTCAAGGAGAATACAAGAGCAGGCATGTGGTGTGGCTGGTGACCACATTGGTCACCGATCAGAGGAAGTGGGGAGAAAAACAGCAATTAAGTTGTGAGCTAAGTCCAACCATGCTCAATAGACTCCTTGAACCCATATTGAGACATGGTCAGCCAGCAGTATGGCAAGACCTGGGGACTCCTGGGCCCAGAGACAGTGACATGGCCACAGAGGACTAGAGCAGAGAGTGAAGCATCCAGTTGATATCACGTGAGGGGAGATGCACAAAAACCCCCATACTTGCAGATAGTACCCACTTGACTTGGCTTCAATGGGTGGATGATCAGAACTTGACTAGAAGAAGAAAGAAACGGAAAGAAAAGAGTAATCTGCTACAATTTGATGAATTCATGTTATAGTTATGGATGTAGTAGCTCAAAAGAGGGAACAAATCTTTACAGCAAGGATCATTCCCACTGCTTCAGTATGTAGCATTGACAGAGATGGGCAACTTAGACATTGGCTACCCAAAGGGAGGTAGGGGAAGCTACAAAGGCAAGAAGTGACTGGCTTACAAGCTTTCAAGAGGGAGCCTAGTTCCAGAGGGTGTGGGGGAAGATAGAATCTCCACTGAGTGGTTTCCAACCTGTCTGGATGGGGCTGATAAAAGGATATGGGGATAAGACTCTTGTGGTTCAATAGTAAATAATTGCTATCAGGACTGATGGTGAGGGTTGAAAATGTAAAGGTAGACGTTTTGTAGCAAAAGGAGGGGAGTGGTTGACTTTGCAGTACAGGAGCAGAGGTCCCTGGGACCATCAAGAGAGAAGAGTGGAGTGTGGGACCCTACCCAAAGAAATAGTGACACCAGAGATGGAGGCAAAGACAATGACATGTAGAGATGGAGCAGCTGGGGAGTCTGGACTCAGGGAGGAAGAGGGACTGTGTGTTGTCGGCTGGGGGGCACGCTTACGGGTGTACTCTTTGGTTATTTGATAATGCATAGAAGGGGTTGTAATCATTGCAATGAAACGAAATTCAATAGGATGAATGTAAAGCTAATGTTCTCCCATGTAAACTATCAAATAATTCACAATAAAAACTAAAATAAAAAAAGGTAAATAAGTCAGCAGCTATAATGACAGAACTTAAAAACAAAGAATCATAGTAACTCACCTTTATGCATAGGAGTAGATCCATTATTGTCACGTTCATTAATATTGATTATTCCATCGTCTACTAATTTCTTTAGTATTTCTAAATCACCCTTAAAGGCAGCCACATGACCTGGAAATGCTAAAGCTATGAATAAAAAAATATATATAAAAAAATTTGGCACTTCAATAAACATGTACGTTCATTCATTCGCCTGCCTTTAAGCCAGGGCTGGGGAACATCTGGTCCAAGAGCCATATAAGATCCCTGCCAAGGCAACTGTAGTTGCAGTCATCACATTGTTGTTGTTGTTGTTATGTGCTGTCAAGTTGTTCCTACTCAGAGACCCTGTACAGAGTTTCTGAGGAGCGGCTGGTGAGTTTGAACCACTGATCCTGCTGTTCATACTGAAAACATTGTAATCCAGTGTTTTATCCCACAATGCCACACCAGGACTTCAGCCATTACATTATTGTTGTTACATGCCATCCTGTCAGTTCCGACTCACAGCGACCCTGCATAGCCATCACATTGGAGCCATCACATTTGGAGTGAGCTAATTAAATGTTTAACTAAATACAACAGGCTAATTTTTAAGTTGATAATTTTGTATGGCCCGTGAAAGATGTAATAAATTTTGGCAAAAGAAAGCTTCCCCAACCCCACTTTTAGCAGTCACAAATTTCAGGTATTACTATTATCTCAAGAACGGTTGTTGTTGTTGTATGCTGCTGAGTCAATTCCAACTCATGACGACACTGTATACAGTTGCTGAGGAGCGTCTAGCGGGTTTGAACCAGCCATCTCGTTGTTAGAAGTCCAGTCCTTATCCTACAGCAACACACCAGTGGGACTGTTATATTAGAATCACTTCAGTTGATACAATAACAAGTAATTTGAGAATCATGAAATAAGATTAGTTATTAACTATGTAGCCCTGTCTTCCATCAGGACTTCCAACATACCAGAAGTACTGGGCCAGAACTAGTTTTAACCATAGTCCCTTTTTTCCTCATACCACTATAAAACACACAAACACTCACACACACAAAAACAAACAAACAAACAAAAAACCCTTCCTCAAGTTAAATTTCAGCCATAGCAACCTTATAGGACAGAGCAGAACTGAGCCATAGGGTTTCCAAAGCTGTATAGCTTTAAGGAAGCAGACTGCCTCATCCTTCTGTGAAATGACTGGTGGGCTTGAAGTGCCAACCTATTGGTTAGCAGCAGTGTTTTAATCATTGTGCCACCAGGCATCCTACAAAACAAATAAGGACAGTACATTTCAGTTCTTTGTATGAAGGCACACTTGGTCTCAAGACGTGCATTTCCACAGACCACTTCTTTAACCATGAATAATGAAGGAAGACAAATAAACAAGCAGCAGTCAAGTGTGTGTGTGTGTCTGCATGCATGTCTGCACACACGAATGAATAAAAGAACCTAACCTAGTGTCTGGCATAGAATCGGTGCTTTTTAAAATTTCTTAATGATTGTAACTACATTACTGAGCCCTGGGACTTCTGGTATGACACTACAGAATCAGCACTGGACTGTTTGGACAGTTCAAAGCCAGCAACTGCTCCTTAGAAACGCTATACACAGGGTTCTATGAGTTACAACTGTCTCAACAGCACTTAACAACAATTGAGCCCTTACTGAATGCCAGGCACTGTAAGCACTACCTCACATAACCACTTCTGATAATTTATTCCCATTTTTACAGATAAGAAAAATGAAGTTCAGAAAGATTGAAAGACTAGTCCAGTATCACTTAATAAGAGGTACAGCCAAAACTGATTTGACTTCACTCCTGTTTTTCATCACCACTTCAAATTGCCTCCTAAAAATAAATGAATGAGTCTAAAAGTAGCAATAGGTACTAATACCATAAAGGGGAGTCAGTAGAAGCTCAGGAAGGAATTTAGAAATAGAAGAGATCCGAAGTAATAATCAAAAGGCAAATTAACACTATCATCAAAAAGCTAAGCAGGAAAACCACCCCTTTTTGAAACCATTTACGAGTATCTAAGTACAACCTTTAAAAAAAAAAAAAAATCAATGCAAGGATTAAATGAGATCATGTGCATTTAAATACCTAGTAGGGTCTGGCACATAGCATGAGTACAGCCACTATGTGTAATGGATATAAGGATGGATACACGGCCTTATAGGCCCGGACACTAATCAGTTTCTACTTCTTCATCTGCTCCTATGTAGGCTAGAAAAGTAAGTTCTATCTAAGCCTCAGTTTCTTCTCTAGGAAAAGAAAAACCTTAAACATACTGACCACTAAGGATCCTTCTAGGTCTAGCACTTTGTAATTCAAAGATAGCCAATGTTTATATAAATAACTTCAAAACTTGAATGAGATTTTTTCTATTTAAAAATTATTGTACATAAAGTATTATCAATGGAAAATTGTCATAGTTAATAGCAATCAATTATTACCAATTAGTAATTAATTTTTATCATTTTGGGGTTATTTTCATTCAAAGAAATCAGGAATATGAGTGTGTTTAAATTTAAACTAGCAGTATACATTGTCAATTGTAACCCTTAGCAGATATTCTTTCATGTAGGTGCTTAGAGCTTAAGATAATATGTTCCATCAAAAACATCTGATTTTGCTAGTTTTCAAGGAAAATTATAGGAACCCAATTTAGAAATATAACACACATAGTGTACCTGCCTGACATCATTTCTTACATATATTTAAGTTCCAATAAATGTTTGACTTTTGCATGAAGAGTTAGATCAATAAAATATTCTAGGTCATGTAACAAAATATTTAAAAAGCAAAACTATCACTGCTTCCTCTACTTTATGTGACAATCTCAGAAATAAGGACTCTAAATAAACTGTAGCTTCTATACAGGATATATGCCCATTTGAAAATATCATGACCATTTAGAGGGAGACTGGAACAGGAAAGATGAAGAAGGTAGTGGAAGACACAGGGAAGGGGGCAAGAGTTAAAGTGAACAGAGGTAAATACTGCTAACTGATGGTACATGGAAAGGACTGCAATCATTGTAATGACATGAAGTGCATTATTTGTTGAATGTGGCACTGATGATCTGGTCTGTAAACCTTCACTCAATTCACTATAAAAAGTTTTTTTAAAAGGATACATAGAAAAACTCAGACAAATGATTTAAAATAGGACAAAGTGTAAATTTCATAGAAGAAAAGTAAAGATATCGGCAGGCAATTCAGGGAATGGAAAAATTTTTGTTGCTTCTGTTGTTAATTACCATACCATCCGTTCCAACTCATGGACCCTATATAGGGTTTCTAAGACTTTTAAATCTTTGCTGGAACAGAAAATCTTATCTTTCTCCTGTGGGTGGCTGGCAGACTCAAAGAGCCAGTGTGTGGTTTGAGGTCCAGTGTTAATTACATGGAGACACTGCACTCTCCATAGAAAACTATAATATTTATTTTATGAAAGAATAGTTAACCTCATTAGTAATCAAGAAAATGTAAATCAGAATTCAAGTAAACCTCTTTATATCCAAAAGATTGGCAAAAATTTAAGTGTAATTTATACTGAATATTGTTGTTGTTGTTGTTGTTGAATGCCATCGAGTAGATTACGACTCCTAATGACCCTGTACAGGATTTCCAAGGAGCTACTGGTGGGTTTGAACCATCGACCTTGTGGTTCAAACTGATCTGGTGATCCAGCGTTTATCTTACAGTGCCACACCAGGACTCAATAGTGAATATTAATTTCTTTAAATCCTCATCAACACTGCTGATGAGAATATAAATTTCTGTAACATTTTTGTTAAATGTAGCAGTATCTATTTATATGGTATACTATATAGGGTCCTGGTATGGTGCTATAGGATAACCACTGGACGATTAGTTCAAACCCACCGGCAGCTCCTCAGAAACTCTATACACATAAAATCGCTTTGAGTAAGAACCGACTCGTGGGCACTTAACAACAATAATCCCATTATGGAATTCTACTTCAAAGTAAATCAGGAGGCCTGGTATGGCACTGTGAGTTAAGGTGCTGCACTGCAAAGTCAGTTTGAACTTCAAGGTTGGTGGTTCAAGCTCACTAGCTGCTCATAGGAAACTCTATACAGGATCACTATGGGTTGGAGCCGAATGACGGTACTTAACAACTACAACAATGTAAAGCAAGAGTCCTAGTGTGGTGCCATAGTGTAAGCATTCAATCTCAAGGTCAGTTTGAATGACAAGGTCAGCCACTCCTCTGAAACCCTATAAAGGGGTCTCTATGAGTCAGAACTGATTAAACAGCACTTAATAACAACAATGATGCATGCCTCTGTCCACTGAAAGCTTAAACACTTCCTGAATTCTCTGTTCACAAAGGCAGTGCTTGAAGAATAACCTACCTGTCTCCTTACTTGTTACAAATAAAACTTTGCTGTGCTTAAATCTGCATAACTCGAAGTTATTCTTAACTAGAGTACAGAAGGCAAGCCCCTTAAATTAGGTTAACACATGTGCAAAAGGAAATACAGACAAGAATGTCTATTACTACGTTCATTATAATAGTGAAAAATTGTTAAGAAACGTAATTGTCAAGATGGAGAAGAAATAAATAATGGCTTTTGTAGATTAGAGTGCATACAACACTTAAAAGAACAAACTAGGATGTATATTTCAACCTAATGAATAACAAAAAATATTTTAAAAAAACAAAAACAAAACAGCAAATCACAGAAGGGTATTTCAACTTTATGCCCTTTCTATGAAATTTTTTAGTGCTGCAAAGTCTGCCAGTTGTCCATCAAATTCTTCTTTCTTTGATACTAATAGAGTTGCAGTTAGGATGAGGCTTTAAAGCTAGTTATTGAATTCTCCAGACTTTCTTGTAGTTAGGTGTTGCTCTTTCCAATGGAATGTTAGCAAAAGTGAGAGGGCAACTTCAACCTTAGAAATTTCTACCATCCTCTCCACTGCTAGCTGGATTAGCAACAACTAGAAAGAGCATGGAAGATAGTAAGTAGTTGAATAACTACACAGAAGAAGATTCACTCTCTAATCCATAAAATAAATAAGCTTCCCTGTCATTTCAGACAGTGACTTTTAAAAGGATTTCTTTGTTATAAGAAAAACACACATATATATACACACACACATAAAAACACTACATATTTTCGGTATGATTTTGTGGATATATATAAGGAATCCTGGTGTGGCACTGCAGGATAAGCACTGGACTGCTAACCGTAAAGTCGGCAGTTCAAACCACCTATTGCTCCTTGGAAACTCTATATGGGTCACTATGAGTTGCAACTGACTTGATGGCACTTACCAACAACTGCAACAATGTGACAAAGAAAACCAAAGAATGAGATGATAAATCCAAAGTAACAGTTAATCTCTGATAGAGAAGAAAAGGGAACACTATTGGGGAGAGAACAACAGTAGCTATAATACTTCATTTTGATAAAGTGTTTATGAAGTTAATTTCTTTATACTTGTCACTAAAATATTAAAACATAAAAATAAAGACTCTGGAAGAATGTGTGGACGATGGTATGTAATAAATTTAATATAACATTTGTCTTATGACCTTTATATTCTCCTTTGTTATTGATTCTGTTTAATATATGCTAAAACACTTCAGATTTATTACTTACTTTCCTGATCTTCTGGATCATTTCCTTTATATTCAGCCCTCTGGATAAACTGCAAGATGTTGTGTTTAAAGAACCTTTGGGCTAGGTCCAGTACATTTTCTCCAGTATCATTAAAGGCTTTTAATGCTTGTGTTACACTGCTCATTCTACTAAGCAGGAATTTAAAACAGTGAAGGTGGCCTTCCATGGCTGCTAAATGAACTACAGACAAAGAGGGGAGAAATGTTTTTAATAGAAATTAGAATAACTTGAGAAGAGAAATAACACATTGGCTCTACTCTTCCAGGGAGATGATTATCCCCATCCCATACAATAGAAATCAAGTAGAAAGGACCTTTTTCCCAGCCTGCATCTTCTTACTCAGGCAACCTTCTCGTCATACCAAACCAGATGATGAAATCACTTGCTGTGAGTATAGACAGACCAGCTGAGGGTCCCCAAAGAGTAAGCCCAAGAAGTTGTTCTTAAAAACGGAAATCCCAACTATACAATATATAGTCAAACATGAGAAAATGCTTGTTACATAAATGTTGTTATTGCCATTGTTGTTGTTGTTGTCAGGTGCCATCGAGTCGGAACCGACTCATAGCGACCCCATGCACAGCAGAACGAAACAATGTCCGATCCTGGGCCAACCTCACTACCGCCACCACACTTGACGCCATCAATGATGTCACCTGGCCGATCCATCTCGTTGGTTACGAATCGGGCTGCGAACCTGAAGGTCAGCAGTTCGAAAGTACCAGCCGCTCCGCAGGAGAAAGATGAGGCTTTCTACTCCCGTAAGGATTTACACCCTTGGAAACCTTGTACAGGGTCGCTATGGGTCGGAACCGACTCGACGGCACTTAACAACAACAACCCCCTTATTGCCATTAGGTGCCATCAAGTCGGTTCCCAACCCATAGCGACCTTATCAAAGTAGTCATTATGCATATATGAATGATGTTGTTTTTATCATTAATGAATCAGTAAATTTTCTATAATCATTTCTTAATTTTTACTATATGGCAAAAAGCCTGGATGAAAATAGTCAACTAAGCACACACACCAACTTTACCATTTCCCATTTCCACCCTAATCCCTGAAATATTTTAAGAATCCTTTTTAAGCCTGCATTAGAGCTTACGACTGATGCTCCTGAGGTCCATTAGTCCACTGGACTAATTGTTTCTAAGCATCTTCAACTTTCCTGTCTCTTCTTTCCCATGGAGATGGACATACCATAGCTGCACCTTAGATGGTCACTCATGAACTTTTTAGATTCCAGTCACTACTCACCGAAGTGGAGTCCTAGTGTTGTTGCTGATGTTGTTAAGTACTGTCAAGTCGGTAGTGACCCTGTATAGGATTTCCAAGGAGCAGCTGGTGAGCTTGAACTGCCGACTTTACAGTTCAAACAGCTTTGCAGTCTGGTGCATTAACACACAGCGCCACACCAGAACTCCGGAGTCCTAGTGTGTGTACTACTGTAGAAAAAGCACTGTATTGCTAACCTCAAGGTCGGCAGTTCAAACCTACCAGTCACTCCTTGGAAACTCTTTACAGGATCGCTATGAGTCATAACCGACTCGGTGGCACTTAACAAGAATAACAATAACTGTACAGTCCCATGAAAACCAAACATTAAACTGGATCCAGATGCTAATTCAGTATTATCTGGGGTAGAAATGTAAATTCTCAGGAAGGGGGTCACACCAAAACCAACAGGTTTGAAGTCCTGGCTAGAAGTCAAGGTAGTGATTAACTTTGGACGGTGGCAGCTACTGGAAGGAGACATGAGGGAAACTTGAGTGTTGTTCTTTGTAGGTACCGTCTAGTCGGTTCTCTTCCACAGTAACACTATGTCTAACGAAATGACACACTGCCAGGTGCAACTCCATTCTCACAGGCCTTGCTGTTTGAACCCAGTGTTGCAGCCACTGTGTCAATCTATCTTGCTGAGATCTTCTTCATCTTCACAGGTCTTTTACTTTACCAATCATGATGTCCTTCTCTAGGGACTGACCTGTCCTGATGACATGTGCAGAGTATGTGACATGCAGTCTCGCAACCCTCCACTTTTAAGGGCATTCTGACTGTACTTCCTCCAACACCAATTTGTTTGCTCTTCGGGAAGTCCATGGCATATTCAATGTTCTTCATCAACACCAAATACAAATGCATCAATTCTTCTTCGGTCTTTTTTATTTACTGCTCTGCTCTCACGTACTTCAGAGGTGACTGACAATGCCATGGCTTGTTGGGTCAGGCACACCTTAAACACTTTAAAGCGGTCTTTTGCAGTAGATTCGCTCTGTGCAGTAATGTCCTTTATTTTCTTGACTGCTACTCCCATGGATGTTAATTGTGAATCCCCAAAAAGTTAAATCCTGGGTAACTCTAATATTTTCTATGTGTATTATGATGTTGTTTATTGGTCCAGTTGTGATGAAATTTGTTTTCTTTACGTTGAGGTATAATCTGTATTGAAGGCTGTAGACTTTGATTTTTATCAGTGCTTCAAGTCCTGTTCACTTTCAACAAACAAAGCCACGTTACCTGCATACTGCAGGTGGTTAATGAGTCTTCTTTCAATCCTAATGCCACATTCTACTTGAGGGCTAGTAACAGTCTATTTCTGGACTAAAGGGTGATTACAGAGAAACATTAATTTGTGAAAATCCAATGATTTGTACACTTGAATTGGGCACTTTTCTGTATGCATGCATGTTAAATTTCAATTTTAACTTTTACTTTAAAAAAAAAAGTATTTGAAAATGAACTAGTGAAAAACAGAGTATTTTTCAGGTAGAAAAATATTGAGAGCTTATAGCAATAGACCCTCACTAAAGGATAGAAGAAAAGAAAGCAAAAGGATCCCAGAAAGAAGTGTGAAGGGATGAGAGATGAAGCCAAGAAGGTAAATAAAAACCAAATGATGAAGGCTCTTGCATGCCAGGCTAAGGAATCAGAGCTTCCTTGGGATCCATGGAGTGGTAAATAGCAAAGTGACTTGAGCAGACATGTTCATACCCTTCTGCCGGACCTTCTCCTTCATTTTGTTTAGGTCTTAAGATTCCTTTATGATAAAATTCAAGAATTTTCACAAACCCTCATTCTAACCTCACTGTTACCTGAATTTCTACAGCATTTACTTTCTACATCATCCCCTTCAGCCTTAATGCATGCTGCCTCATAATGTTACTTCTTAGAAAAAGAGAGCGTGTTTTTCAACTAGCCAGTTGATTGCAGGCTAAACAATGGCAGTTAGAAAATGAATTCAAATGCGCTTGTATTCTGTTTATACATTCATACTGTTTAAAAAAAAAAAAAAAAAAGGAGTATGTGGGTCAGATAGAGAGGACATCGGAAAGTAACTACACAGGAAATGAAGGAAACAACTGCTAGGAAAAAAAGTCTACAAATTTAATCTAGCCAGTTCCTCTTTCATTGATATAGAGTTCCAGAAAACAAAACAAAATCATGTACAAAAGCAAACAGCAAAATTTGAGATGGGCATACAACATGTTGAGCTCTGGTGGCACAGCAAGATAAGCACTGGACTTAAACAAAAGATTGGCAGTTCAAACTCACCAGTCACTCTTGGAAAATCCTATCAAGCGTCACTATGAGTCAGAACCAACTAGACAGTACACAACAATGACATATTGTAAGATTTATGATGAAAAACATACATGTTAACATTTTACTACTTTAATTTTGAAGGACTAACTGAATGATGATATTTTAAATTCCTTAAACATGCACACATTTAAAAGTTTACATCAATGAAAATCCCAAAATATTTACTTTTGTTGCATACCTGGAAGGTTTCCATTGTAGTCCACATCTTCTATGCCACATCCCCATTTAACTAGAAGTTGCAAGCAGCCAAGCCTCCCATGAAAAGCTGCATAATGCACAGGCTTCCATTCTCTTTTATCAGTCACGCTGGGATCCTAAAGTGGCATTCACAAGGAGTCAGTTTCTTGCCATTTTGTAAAGAAACCATTAAGCCCAGCAGTTGAACTCTCCAAATAAGAGACAGAGGTGATGCTTAAAACTTAAAGGCAAACACTAACTTTGTCAGATAAAGTGGGCCTGACAAAAGTTTAAATAGCAACCATTAGTTTGAATATATGCACTAAAAAGACAGCAGTGAAATTTTATAAAATAGCTATTTTTATAAAATGCAGTCATATAAAATAGCTTTGTAAAAAGAAATTTAACGAGTCATTTTGCTGAGTGCAGTTTCCTGACCCATAAGAAAGATGTATTAAGTGATTAATTCACATCTTTGAGAGTACAAAGAGTTTTGAAGAAATCAAAGGTTTTCCACTGTTTCTTCGAACTATAAAATCATAAGTTCTTAGCATATTGCTGTTGTTTTAAGTGTTGTAGAGTTGGTCCAACCCAAGGCAACCCTACATATGGTTTCTGAAGAGTAGCTTTGAACCATGGACTTGTGGTTCAAACTGACCTTGTAGTCCAATGCTTTATCCTACAGAGCCACACCAGGACTCCAATTCTTAGTGTGGTGGTGGTGATTGTATGCTGTGGAGTCGGTTCCAACTCATAGCAACCCTGTATATAGTTTCCAAGGATGTAAATCCTTATGGAGCAGAAAGTCTCATTTTTATCCCATGGAACAACTGGTAGTTTCGAACTGCTGACCTTGATATTACCAGAGTTCCTTAATTCTTAGTATAATGTCCTCAAAATTGGTAATTTCGTTCTTAAAAGAAGTTGTTTTTGCCAAGGTAATGTTAAAATAAATATTGTGATGAATAAATGAAATTTAGAGACAGGAATCATTTTCTAAATTAGCACTGCTGTATAACATAAAACCTGAAGTCTTTTTTGCCTGTGACTGACTCCAGCCAGGCAGAGCTTAATTTCATGTTGTAAACAGGTAAGTGTTCAGATGCCAATTTTTCTCGAGTGGCTCATGCACCTCTGATAACTAAACCACCAGAATTAGAAACACAATATTTAAAAGTAGGTTTAGGCATGAAGTGACTAGCTTACAAATTTTCAAGAGGGAGTTTAGTTTCAAAGTGTGCGGGTGAAGGTGGAATCCCCACTGACCAGTTTTCTTGATGGGTCTGGTGAAAGGAGATGGTAATAAGATTCTAATGATTCAACAGTGAGTAACTGTTATCATGACTCATTGCAACTGTCTCAACTGTAAAGGTAGTAGTTCTGTAACAAAAAGGAGGGAGTAGTTAATCTTACAGTCCAGGAACAGAGGACCCTAGGACCAACAAGGGAGAAGAGCATGAGCAGACTGTGGGTCCCTATCCAGAGAAGCACCAACACCAAAGATGGAGGTGGAGATGAGGACATGGACAGATAGAGCAGCTGAGGAATCCAGACTCATGGAAAGAGAAAGGCTGTGTGTTGGCAGCCAAGAGGCAGGCTTGAAGAATGTGCCCTTTGGTTGTTTAAATGATTACATATTCCTGAGTGTTTTTGTGTACATGCATAAAACCCAGAGGGAATAGAAGCAAATACTGTTGAATGATGATGCACAGAGGATTGTAATCATTGCAATGAAATGAAACATGATAGGATGAGTGTGAAAATCAATGTTCTCCCATGTAAACTATCACTCAATTCACGATAAAAACTTTTCTTTAAAAAAAAAGTAGATCTGGGGACACTTCCCCCAACCAGGACTGGCAGGAACATTCCTAGACACACTCCTTACTGGTGGCCTAGTTGTGATGTCATACCTGAGAACCAAAGATCGTAACCTTTCCTATCCGCAGTAGTCTCCTCCCTGCTTTCCATAGCCCAGAGTGTTGTGACTGATGGCTGGGGCCTTCAGTCATGGTTGCAGTAGGGGTTTCCTTTGTCCCGTGAGCCTTTTAAGAGGTCACAACACTGAGAAAGAACTTTGGGAACTCATCATGGTGTCTAATTTTCCTTACCTGGGTGATCTATGGTTGTATTTATCTTATGTTTACTTTTGTTTAAGAATTAATAGTCTGTATAATATTTACATCTTTGAAGATTGGGTCTCTCTTATCTCTCTTATAACAGTGCATGAGATTTAAAAAATTACCAAAACAAAAGCACAAAAAACAGCCAGAAATAAGAAAAATTATAAAGATTTGCAATTACCTTCTTAATAAAAATGTTCTGGTAGTTTCAGAATCCTCCCACTAAGAAAAATTTGATACAAATAACCTAAAGCCCCTGAAATGTGTGGTCCTACACAAGTACTTTCTTGGGAAAGTAATCTGACTATTCTGAAGTTCAACTGAATTACTGCTCCCATATTTAGAGATGAACAAGCAAAGAAAAACAAATTAGTTCCTTAAAGCCGCATACGGGATTTAAAAACTCAGCTGATAACCAGACAGCCAAATGCTATTATATCTACATAATCACACATTTTCACATGTTAACAGGAATCCCTTACCACTCCACTGCGGAGCATTATTTGTAATGTGAAAGAATGTCCATGAGTAGCAGCAAGATGTAAAGGATTACATCCACGATCATCCTGAGCTGACAGATTTGCTCCATTGACTATAAGAGCCTAAAAATAGGGAGAAGAGAATTTACGTTTGCAAGAATATAGATGTTAATAATTTCACATGCAAATAATTTAAAAGCAATATATGTGTATATATGTATGGTGGCAGTGGTGTGTTATAGAGTCAGTTCCAACTCATAGTGACCCTGCATATGGTTTCTGAGGCTGTAAATCTTTACAGGAGCAGAAAGCGTCATCTTTCTCCTGTGGAACAGCTGGTAGTTTCAAACTGCTGACCTTGAGTTTAGCAGTCTGACTTGTACGTAACCAGTATGCTACCAGAGCTCCTATATATATGTATGTTTATGTGTGAATATATATAATTATGGAGTCCTGGTGTGGCGCTGTAGGTTACTGTATCAGACTACAAAGCCTTTTAAACTGCAAGGCTGGCAGTTCAAGCTCACCAGCCACTCCTTGGAAACCTTATACAGTGTCGCTATGGGTCGAAACCGACTCAAAGGCACTTAACAACAACCTAACAATATATATGTATATTGTTATTAAGTGCCCTCGAGTCAGTTCCAACTCATAGCGACCCTGTATAGGGTTTCCGAGGAGCGGCTGATGAGTCAGAACAACTGACCTTGTGCATTAACCTACGGGACCATATAAATATATATATTACTGTGTGTGTGTGTATATATGTGTATGTGTACGTGTATATGTGTGTATATATATATATATACACACACACAAATATATACAGCTAAATTATTACATATGTACATATGTTCTATGGGCAAAGTGTGAGAAATTCTTAACTAATCCTAAGAAAAAGTTGAACTCTTTCTGAACCTTGCCTAGGAGACACCAATAATAATTGATTTCACAATCGGATTTGAGCATATATATACTACATACATGGAACACGTCTCATAATTACAGATTATAACTACTAAATCAAATATTGTTGTTGTTAAATGTCATCAAGTCAATTCTAACCCATAGCAACCCTGTAGAGAGTTTCCAAGGAGCAGCTGGTGAGCTTGTACCGCCGACCTTGCAGTTCAAACCGACTTTGCAGTCTGACGTGTTAGCTCACAGCACCACACCAGGACTCCCTATTAATGCTAAATTAATAAAACTAAAATTTAAATTTCTACTAATTCAAAAGCAGGAAATTTTAATTAAATGAGTTTTGAACTCAATAAAAGGATTACATTATTACATTAACTAGCTCTAAGATCCAAATCAAGCAGCCCTGGTAGCACAACAGTTAAGCACTTGGTTACTAACTGAAATTCAATCTGTCAGCAGCTCTGAGGGAGAAAGACCTAACACGATGCTCCCTTAAAGATAACAGATTCCAAAACCCAGTGGAGAAGAGTTCTACGCTATCACACCAGGTCACGTGGTGTTAGAAATCACACCAGGTCACGTGGTGTTAGAAATCAATTCATTAACAAGTTCCAAATCCAGTTTCTGAAATTCCATCTAAATTTACAATTAGACCAGTTTCCGAATATAGGTTATATCCTAATTTGTTTGATAACAGGTAAAGCATACCATACCCCAGGGAAACTCCCATTACACCAGATAAGGGATGTATAAGCTGAGTAAATGTATTACGTTGTTGTTGTTGTTGTTGTCAAGTACTATGGAGTCAGTTCTGACTCATAGCGACCCTGCACAGGGTTTCCTAGGCTGTTAATCTTTATGGGAGCAGAAACCCTCATCTTTCTCCCATGGAATGGCTGGTATTTTCAACTGCCAACCTTGAGGTTAGCAGCTAGAATTGGTAACCACTACACTACTATATTCCATCCTAATTCCCTTACCATAAGTATCAAATTACATCACACAATTGCTGAACCACAGAGAATCATGGCCACATTTTGGAGTAAAAACAATTCAATCCATGACATTCCACTGTTTTGACCTCCCCAAATTCATATCTTTGCCACATGTAAAACATTTTCATCCCATATCATCCCCAAAGTCCTAAATCAACTCCAAATCCAAATTCCATCCTAGGGCAAAATTCCTCTTCATCTATGAATCTAGAATATAAGTTATCTACTTCCAAAGTACATGCAGGAACAGACAATGCAGATATTTCCATCACAAATGGAAGAAATTACAGGGAGAGAAAAGCAGTAACAGGCACCAAGCAATCCCAAACCCAGCAGAAAAAATTACATTAGCTCTATAGGCTTGAAAACAATTCTCTGTTCTCTAAAATCACCTAGTTAGTGGCTCTGCCCTCTAGACTATATGTACTGGCAATATTCTCTGGATTATGAATGGAGGCCCCTTGGCCTTGGGCAGCTCTATTCTCTGGTTTGGCACTGTGTGTTAATACACTGAACAGCAAAGTTGGTGACTGAACTTGCAAGGTGGGTGATTCAAACTCACCAGCCGCTCCTTGGAAACCCTACCCAGGGTCACTATGGGTCAGAACTGACTCTACAGCACTTAACAACAACTTTCTCCTAATCCATCCCTCCTCAGTGTCAGCAGACTGCTGTTTTCCCCCTTGGGCATGACAGCCCTGTCCCCTCAGTTTTGGGTAGCAACTCTAATTACATCCCCCTGGCACACATGATTTGCAGCTCCATACCCCATAATCCAGTTGGTGAAAATCTGACTTTGAACCTAGGAAGTCAACGCTCCACCCACTGAGACCCTTGTGGGCTTTGCCCTTACTTTTTTTTTTAACTTTTTATTTTGAATTGGATGGTTTACAGAGCAAGTCAGTCTTTCATTCAAGTTTCCCATTTTGTTTTATGTTATTGATTCCAATCACCACAGTGTAACATTGCTTATTCCACTTACTCCTTGTGTTTCCGGTTTCCATTCCTGCTTGTTTCCTACATTTTTTTATCTCAAATGGTTGATTATTCTAAGATACGAGTATCTCTCTAGTGCTACTGCTTCTCTTATGGACCTGTTTATAGTTTGGCTGAATACTGGGTCGTTTCTGTGAGCTCATTTCCAGATGTGAAAGTTGACCAAGGACCATAGTCCTTGGGGATACCACCAGCGTTTATCTGAACAGTAAGCCATGTCTTTCTTATGATTCTGAGTTTTATTTTATATCCCCCACCCCACTTTATTCAGGACATTCTAATGTGACCCTTTTCAGAGCAGTTGGCAGTAGTAGGCAGGCTTGTGTGTTGCTGTCATGCTGGAAGCTATGCCACTGGTATTAGACATACCACCAAGGTCACCCATGGTGGATAAGTTGCAGCAGAGCTTCCAAACTCAGACAGACTTCTGAATTTTAGCCACTGAAAACTTCAGGAATAACAGCCAAACACCATGTGACATACTCACAGAATATGAAAACATTATCACATACAGTGCTGGAAGATGAGCCCCTCAGGTTTGGAAGCACTCAAAATAGGACTAGGGAAGAGAGCTACTGCCTCAAAGTAGAGTTGACAACAACAACTCAAATGAAATAAAGTTTTCAGGGCCTTCATTTGCTGATGGGGAACAACTCAAAATGAGGAGAAACCGATGCAACTATACATTAATAATCAGAATAGGAAAGTACAAAATATGAATCTAAGAAAATTGGAAGTTGTTGAAAATTAATTGGAACTCATAAAAATCCATATCCTAGGCATTAGTAAGCTGAAATGGATTAGTACTGGCCATGCTGAATCAACCATATGATTTTCTAGGCCAGCAGCGACAAACAGAAGAGAAGTGGCATCACATTTATGGAAAATGCATTTCAAGATCTATCTCGAAGTATAATGCTGTCTGTAATAGGATAATATCCATATACCTACAGGAAGACCAGTTAAAGCCACTATTATTCAAATATACAAATCAACCACTGAAGCCAGTGATGACAATATTGAAGAATTCTAACAACTTCTTCAGTCAGAAATTGAACATACAATCAAGATTTTAATAGTTATTGGTGATTGGAATGGGAAGGATGAAAAAAAGAAGAAGGATCAGTAGTTGAAAAATATGACTTTGGTGATAGAAATGATGCTGGAGATCGCATGTTAGAATTTTGCAAGACCAATAACTAATTAATTGAAACTATCTTTTTGAAATAACATAAAAAATGACTATATACATGATTTCACCTGACGGAGTACAAAAGAATTGAACTGAACACATCTGTGGAAGAGATGGTGGAAGAACTCAATATTATCAACCAACACAAGGCAAAGGGAAGACAGTGGAGGTGACTATCAATTGTTCCTATGCAAGTTCAGGCTAAAGCTGAAGAAAATTAAAACAAGTCCAAGAGAGTCAAAATTTAATCTTGAATATATCCCAAGTGAACTAGAGACCGACCACATGAATAACAGATTTGATACCTTAGACACTAATAACAAAAGAGTTGTCGAACAACAGCAGTATCACACAGGAGGAAAAATATAAGGTCATTAAAAAGACAAGAAAGAAAGAAAAGACCAAAATGAATGTCAGAAGAGGCTCAGAAACTTGCTTTCCAGACAGAGATTCTAAAATACATGGAAGAAATGCAGAGGAAAAGAAAAATTCAAAGGGCAGCTCAAAAAGACAAAGTATTATAATGAAATGTGCATAAGACCTGGAGTTAGAAAATCAAAAGGTAAGAACACACTCAGCATTTCTCAAGCTGAAAGAACTGAGAAAAAAATTCAAGACTCGACTTGCAATATGGAAGGATTCTATGGGCAAAATGATACAACTGATATGCAGATGATATAATCTTACTTGCTGAAAGTGAAGACTTACAATAGTTACTGATGAAGATCAAAGAGCACAGCCTTTGTTATGGATTGTAACTCAATATAAAGAAAACAAAAATCCTCACCACTGGACCAATAAACAACCTTCTTATCAATGGAGAAAAGATTGACGTTGTCAAGGACTTCATTCTTCTTGGATCAACTATCAACTCATGGAAGCAGCAGTCAAGAAATCAAATGACATATTGCATTAGGCAAATCTGCTGCACAGGACCTTTTTAAAGTGTTGAAGAGCAAAGATGTCAGCTTGAGGACTAAGGTGCGCCTGATTCAAGCCATGGTATTATTTTCAATAACCTCATATGCGTGCGAAAGCTGGACAGTGAATAAGGAAAACCGTAGAAGAATTGACGCATTTGAGTTACGGTGTTGAAGGAGCATATTGAAAGTGCCATGGGCTGCCAAAAGAACAAACAGATCTATGTTGGAAGTAGTGCAGCCAGAGTGCTCCTTGGAGGCCAGGATGATCAAACTTCGTCTCGCATACTTCGGACATATTGTCAGTAGGGAGCAGTTGCTGGAGAAGGATATCATGTTTGGTAAGGTGGAGAGTCAAAGAAAAAGAGGAAGACCCACAGAGGATGGATTGGCCAAGTGGCAGCATCAATGGGCTCAAGCATGGCAACATTGTGAGGTTGGCCCAGGACTGTACAGTGTTTCATTCTGTTATGCATACGGTCGCTATGAGTCAGTACTAACTCAAAGGCACAACAACAACATGGGCAAAAAATACTGAATGATGCAGAAAGTATTAAAAGAAATATGCAGTCTTTGTACCAAAAAGAAATGGTCAATTTTCAACCATTTCAAAAGGTCCCATATGATCAACAACCAATGGTACTTAAAGATGAAGTCCAAGTTGCACTGAAGGCATTGATGGAAAACAAAACTCCAGGAAACGATGGAATACAAATTGAAACCTTTCAACAAACTGATGTAGTACTGGAGGCACTCACTCATCTATGCCAAGAAGTTTTGAAGATAGCTACCTGGCCAACTGACCATTGTGCCCATTCCAAAGAGAGAGGAATCAAAAGAATGCAGAAATCACTGAACTATATCATTAATGTCACATGTAAGTAAAATCATGTGCAAGATAATTCAAAAACAGTTGCAACAGTAAATCGTCAGGAAACAGCCAGAAATTCAAGCCAAACTCAGAAGAGGGCATAGAAGTGAAGTGGATACTGGATTTGAACTGCTGACCTTGTGGTTAGTAGTACAGTGCTTATAAGTAAACTCAACACTTGAACTTAATATTTTGTCTTCTGCAAATCTCCTGTACATTTTTTGTCTATTTCTATCTGTGGTGTATAAATGATCTGTCATTCTTATTCAAACTTTAACTTTGATTACAGTCTACCAATGTCCGCATTGCAAATGTTTTGGTTTTCTTTCTGTCTTTCTCACTACCACTATGTAATTTCACCCCAGTGATTATAGAAAAAGGTTCCTAACTGGTTGTATTGCCTTCAAACTCTCTCTTCATCTCCGTTAATCCTGGATGGTTGGTTGGCAGGTTATGTGCTGTAGAGTCAGTTCTGACTCATAGCGACCCTGTACAGTATTTCCAAGTCTGTAAATCTTTACGGGACCAGAAAATCTTATCTTTCTCCCACAGAACAGCTGATAGTTTTGAACTGCTGACCTTGAGGTTAGCAGCTTGATTTGTAACCACTACGCTACTTGTTGTTGTTGTTAAGTGCCATCGAGTCGGGTCCGACCCATAGCGACCCTGTACAGGGTTTTCCGAGGGTGTAAATCCTTACGGGAGTAGAAAGCCTCATCTTTCTCCCGCGGAGCGACTGGTAGTTTCGAACCGCTGACCTTAAGGTTCGCAGCCCGATTCGTAACCACTACGCTACTACGCTACTAGAGTTCCTTTAATCTTGGATGTTGCTGTTATTGTTTCATGCCATCAAGTTGGTTCTGACCCATAGTGACTCTGTATCATATTTTTGAGGAGTGGCTGATAAGCTTGAACTGCTGACTTTGTGGATCAAACCAACTTTGCAGTCCAGTGCATTAACCCACAGCGCCACATCAGTGATTTCACAACTTCATCCACTGTTAACGTTCATGTGTACATGCGTGAGTATTATCTGGGAACCAGTAAACAAGCTTTTATTAGCTAGACTTCAACTGTGCTTCATAAGCTGATTTTCCAAAAGTACATCACCAGGCCTTCCTTCCAAGGCACTTCTAAGTGGACTTGACCCTCCAACCTTTTGATTAGCAGCCAAGTACATTAACAGTCTGCACCATGGAGCGTATGCATAAAAACTCGCTTTCCTGTACTATTTACTCCAAAATCTTTATTTTCCTAAGAATTTTACAAATTTGGTCTACCCAAACTTAGTTTGTGTAATAGTCAACAGCTCAAACCATCTACACTCAGTCAAACTCATAATGGAATATCACCTAGACATATCTCATTTTTCCAACCTGGGGCCTGCACACAGAAGTAGAGGTTCATAGAACAAAGTCTAGGTTCAAATCCTGGCTCTCTCACTTACTTAGGCAAGATATGTAAAATATCTGAATTTGTTTCCTTATCTGTGAAAAGGGGAACTCATAGGATTATTGTATTATATGAAATGATACATGGAAGACTGTGACTGGTACACAATAAATGTTCAATAAATTATTATCATTATATTTGATTCTGATATACCCTCATCTAGAATGACTTCTGGGGTTTGGTGTGACGCTGTAGGATATGCACTGGACTTCAAGGTCGGTTTGAACTGCAAGGACAGTGATTCACCTCCACCAGCCACTCCTCGAAAACCCTATGCCAGGTTGCAATGAGTTGGAACCAACTAGACAGCACTTAACAACAACAACAGAATGGTTTCTATTTCACTCTTTAAAATCAATCCATTCTCCTAGGCTTAGCTGAAGTTTTATGTCCACCATTAATAATTCTTCCTCTTTCTCCTAATTTGTAGGTATTCATCATGGTTTGCTTGGCCTGGTATACCGTAGAAGAATTGATGCTTTTGAGTTATAGTGTTGGAGGAGAATATTGAAAGTGCCATGGGCTGCCTAAAGATCCAATAGATCCATTTTGGAAGAAGGACAGCCAGAGTGCTCCTTGGAGGCCAACATGGCCAAACTTTGTCTCTCATACTTCAGATATAGTTTGTCAGGAGGGAGCAGTTGCTGGAGAAGGATATCATGTTTGGTAAGGTGGAGGGTCAGAAAAAAAAGACCCCCAACGAAATGGATTGGCCAAGTGGCAGCGTCGATGGACTCAAGCATGGCAACAATAGTGAGGTTGGCCCAGGATCAGGCAGTGTTTCGTTCTGCTGTGCATAAGGTCGCTATGGATTGGTACTGACTCGATGGCAGCTGACAACAAGAACAACATCATGGTTACGAATCAAGCTGCAAATCGCAAGGGCAGCAGTTCAAAACTACCAGCTGTTCTGTGGGAGAAAGATGAGGCTTTCTGCTCCCATAAAGATTTACAGCCTCGGAAACCCTGTACAGGGTCGCTATAAGTCAGAACTGACTCCGCGACACATAACCATCAACTATCTAACACTTTGCTTTGTATTGTTCTTTAACTTACTGGGTAGAATTCCAATCACTCCAAACAGAACCTCAGCTTCTTACAGGCAGGAACTGTCTGCTTAACTGTTTGAAATTAAACTAGACTGCACCACATATTATTGTGCTACCCTGTATAAAAAATGTCTAGTTCAAGTACATTTCAGTATATAGCTACTACAGTAAACTAGTCTGCACCACATATTGTGCTACCCTGTATTAAAAGCTCACTGCCATCAAGTGGATTCTGACTCATAGCAAGCCTCTAGGACAGAACACAACTACTCCATAAGGTTTCTGAGACTGTTAATCTCTACAGAACTGAACAGTCTCATCTTTATCCCAAAGAGTAACTGGTGGATTTGAGCTTCTAATCTTTCAGTTAGCTGCTCAACGCTTAGCCCACCATGCCATCAGGGCAAATTTCAGGCATAGCACGCTACAAAGGAGAAATTTGGGAATGTTCCTCGATCCTAAAATAAGATATGTGGTGTTCCACAAAACAGCCCAAATGTAATAGTAAACTACTTCATTACATAAAAGAATCTGGTCTCAAGACTATTTAAGTGGATTGTTGGGAGCGACTGAAGGTCTCTGACTTGGAGATAGTTTAACTGAAGGATTGCAACTGAACAGTTGTGGTCCAGAAACTCAGGCTGCATCCAGGTCAGGCTGCCCCCTGAGGAACTTGCAAAGCCTGCCTCGGGGAATAAGGAACGTGCAAAATCTTCCCTTGTACACAGCCATGACCTGCAGCTCAGTCTGCACAAATACATAGCTGCTCTAATCTCTGTTTCCTTAGCTACCACAAGTTACTTTCTTCTGATAAAGTCCGGATGCATACCCTATTCAGGGTCGCCATGGGTCGGAATCAACTCAATGGCACTTAACAACAACAACTGCATGTACAAACAACACCAGATGTTCTTGCACTCTTTTCCCTGACCCCAAGCACCTCCCTTTGTTATATGTATAAAACAAATGGGCTGCACTTGGTCTGGGTTGCAGTAGCTCCATCAGAGCGCTGCTGCGTCCCACCTGATCCCAACTTTACTTAATTTATTTGTGTCTCATGTCTTCCTTTTCTTTCTAATCTCCTGCCACTCCTACTCGGGTTTAATCTTTCAGTACAAGTCATGGAGAACAGCCAATGCTGGACGTGGCAGTACCACAATATCAGAGTCATGGAATCCAGTACATTCTTGTTAATAACATGTAATTCAACTAAGGATAAAATAGTACTGGTGTGGTGCTGTAGGATAAGCACTTGACGTTAAGGTTGGTTTGAACTGCAAAGGCTGGTGGTTCAACACTCCAGCCACTCCTCAGAAACTCGATACAGGGTCACTACGAGACAGAACCGATTCGATGGCACTTAACAACAACAATGCCAACACCACAGTAGTCAAACATGAAATAATTTTAAAAGCACCCAAAGTTCTTAATTATTACCTGAATACAAGCATCCTGACCCCGAATTGCAGCTATGTGAACTGCTGTCCAACCTCTCGTGGTTACTTGTGTGATATCGGCTCCATGCCAGAGGAGCCAATGGAGACACTAAATATAGAAAATAACCATGTGAACAAGTAATAAGGCAAAAAATGTTAACAACTTTCAAACTTTTCAATTTAGTTTATTATCATAAAATGCCCAATACAGCTTGAACGGCATCATAAATAAATATGGTAAGGGAGGTGTTGCAGGTATAAGAAAAACAAAAACACAAGTATAATGAAAAACGGTAGCCAACACGTGACCTCTCTGTTGGACAAATACGAATTAGTGAAAACTGTGGAAAACAGGAGATCACATTCTTTATCTATAAGGTGTAGATGATTTGTTGATTTGAGAGAAATGCAGACCCAGTGTTGGCAATCTTCTGTTTGATCAATACTATGCAAGCCAAATAAAACACATCTGTGAGCCAAATTCACTCAAGGATTACCAATCTGTAAGCTCTGACAGAGATCTTTAAATGGGTCCAGAAGTTTCTGTGTCAGAGCAGAAATTATTTAAATGATGATCTCTTAAAAATAAGTGATCAAAGAAAGAGGGAGCCAGGTATGTCTAAATTTAAGAATTTTAAAAATCTATGTCTCAATATAATACAGTACTTAGAAGTCTGTTCCACATAAGGTATTATCTTTGTTTTACTTGTATGTTTAAGTTTGTAGATTCTACCTCCATAAAGGTTCTTTCTCTTTAATAGAACTGATCATATCATGGGGATTACACTTTTTTATTGTTTACAATCATATCTTTCTGTAAAAAAGTTTGTAGTTTAGGTATAATTTTCCTGTCATGGAGATTAATGGGCAAAACTGAGCACAAAGACCCTCCATACACAGAGTAGACAGAGATGGGGAAGTTGGACATTGGCTACCCAAAATGGGGGACTACAAAGGCAAGAAGTCACTGGTTTATAAGCTTTCAAGAAGGAACATAGATACAGAGGGCATGGAGGAAGGTAGAATCTCCACTGATTAATACCCAAACTGTCTAGGCGGGGCTGATGAAAGGAGATGCGGATAGGTCTCTTGTGATACAGTAGTGAGTAATTGTTATCAGGACTGATTGTGAGGGTTGGAAATGTAAAGATAGACGTTTTGTAGCAAAAGGAGGGGAGTGATTAACTTTGCAGCCTAGGAGCTGAGGTCTCTGGGACCATCAAGGGAGAAGAGCAAAGTGCGGGACCCTACCCAGAGAAGCAGTGACGCCCGAGATGGAGCAGCTGGGGACTTTAGACCCAGAGAGGGAGAGAGGCTGTGTGCTGACAACCGAGGGGGCAGGCTTGCAGGGCATACCCTTTGGTCGGTGGTTGATGCATGGAGGGGACTGTAACCATGGCAATGAAATGATATACGATAGGATGAATGTAAAACTAATGTTCTCCCATGTAAACTATCACATAATTCACAATAAAACATTAAAAAAACAACAACAACAACAAACTGGGGACAAAGAAAACAAGGTAACCAGATACAAGTGACCATATAGTAAAGGATGACCCTAATCACTGAAAAGCAAATTGTTGTACCTATAAAAATAAGAAAAATTAAAAAGACTGACAAAATCCAGTGATGGTCAGGTTGAGAGAGAATTGTCATTCTTATATACTATAGTTGGTAATATAAACAAATACAATTATTTTTGCTACACCACTCAGATTTTTTCCTAAAAAACACTCAAGTACACAAAAATGTATGTGATGTGATATTGACGTTCTAATGGCATTTTGTTAACAGTGAAAAGCTCAAAAGTAAAATAAATGTCTATCAATACTATGGAATTCTAAGAAGCTATTTACAAGAACGAAGTGATTATACATATATAGAAATGAAAACTGTCTAAGAAACTACCTTTGGTTTGTTTTCATGTTTACAAAAGGAAGTTGCTGACTCTGGTACCGTAGTGATTATGAATTGTACTGCTAACCTCAAGGTCGGCAGTTCGAAACTACCCACTGTTCTGTGGGAGAAAGATGAGGCTTTCTGCTCCCGTAAAGATTTACAGCCTCAGAAACCCTGTACAGGGGTCGCTATGAGTCAGAACCAACTCCCCGGTACGTAACCACCACTACCACCATGTATTATGTGATCTCAGTTCTGTTTAAAACAAAACTCTATATACGTGAACACACTTGTATGTGCTTCATTTTGAACTTGTGCATCTACTTTTACTAGTTTTTAAATGAGGCGTTTTCTCTCCTGAATTTAGGTAGTATTGTAACTGCAGCAAAGTGACTGTGCATGACTTTGGAGGGTAGAAAATATGTGGTTATACAGCTTCCACCTGGATTACTTGGGATACTTGCCTTTGGCATCTAGCCACCATGTTTTGAGGAAGCACAAACTACTTATGTGGAGTGGCCACATAAACAGACCCATAGGGAAAGGAATTAAGGTGCCCAGTCTACTGCCTCAACCACCAGACATCTGACTGAACAAGCCTTCAGATGATTCCAATGCTAGATTTTTGCTCTTCCAGCTCAGACCCCAGACATTGTGAAACATACAGGTTGTCCCAAAGGTCCAAGTTCCTGGCCCACTGATGAGCACAAAGAAATTGCTGTTTTATGTCTTTAAGCTTTGTGGTATTTTGTTATAAAGCTGTAGTAACCAGAACATCTAAATACTACAACATTGAATTGAAATAAAGAACATCTGCAGTCCTTAGCATAAAGTCTCAGCCCTATTGGCTGCATTTACAAAACTGCTACCGCTGTAAGCTTATCTGAGTTTAACGATTTATATAGCATCTTACCTCCAAGCTTCCAGAATGTGCTGCCCAATGTAAAGGGCTAAATTTATGGAGAACATCAACTTCATTAATGCTGGCTCCTTGCTCCACTATTTCTGAAAGCAGCTTTACATCTCCAGCTCGTACCGCATCATGTATGCTACTACGAGGCACCTTTTTCCTGGCATCTGTTGAAAAATCAAGTTGCTTAAAATATATTACTGAACTGTGAAAATCAGACGAGAGCAATGATTCAACAGAAGCATGTTGGCTTTCCAAATGATTTACTACAAGATGTTTGCAATTAACGTCTTAAAATCAGACTTCCAGTTTCAGCTTCCACATGTAAAGAGCACGGCAGTTGTCACTCCTTACAAGAAAAAAGCAAACAAAAAGAAAAGTGAAAATCAACAATTTTTCTTAAAACACTTGAGAGAATTGAAGTATCAGGACACACTGACACCCCAAATCTGGCGAGTCAGGGCAGAGCATAAAAACACCACTGAGTTCAACATAGCTGGACCAGAAGCAGCCAAAATCAAATTCATAGGAACACATAAATGATCAATTTGATGAATTGCTAGGGGCTGAGTGTTTACCAGTCATAAAGTAAGATATTCCTGGGTGCTACAATCGGTGTGGCGCTGTGGGCTAATGCATCAGACTGCAAAGTCATTTGAACTGCAAAGTCTGCGGTTCAAGCTCAACAGCCGCTCCTTGGAAACCCTATACAGGGTCGCTATGGTTCGGAATTGACTTGACGGTACTTAACAACAAAACAACAGCCCTACCATAGGTTTTTGCCTCCAGAAACCCTCCCAGGTCATCACGGTGAAGAGCCAAAAAAATCAACTCAAGTCTTTGACAGAAGAAAGGGAAAAATAACCCTGCTGAAATGTGGTCAGGGCATTCTTAAGAGTTTATAATCCAGTGAAAGCGACTTAGCCAAACTTACTACAGACAGGAACAAGGGTAGTTACCCAACTACAGCTCCTTTTAACCTTTCTGCCTCACCTAAGGAAGGGAGAAAGGCAAACTAAAAATGTTACACCTGTGAAGGCCACAGCCCAGGGGCAAACTAAAAAGGTTACACCTGTGAAGGTCAAAGCCCAGTGGCAAACTAAAAATAATACACCTGTGAAGGCCACAGCCCAGGGACAAACTAAAAATGTTACACCTGTGAAGGCCACAGCCCAGGGGCAAACTAAAAAGGTTACACCTGTGAAGGTCAAAGCCCAGTGGCAAACTAAAAATAATACACCTGTGAAGGCCACAGCCCAGGGGCAAACTAAAAAGGTTACACCTGTGAAGGTCACAGCCCAGGGGCAAACTAAAAATGATACACCTGTGAAGGCCACAGCCCAGGGACACACGCCCAGCAAAAGTCTGAGATTTAATCATAAAATTGTATCTGCTTCCTCTCTTCTATACTTTACCACCACATTACCAGAAAACAGCATTGGATTCTAGCTGAAAAAGCTGCAGACCTCAGTTTCTTTTTAACAGAGCATTCAAAAGTAAACCTGAAGACAACAGGGTAGACAAAAACAAAGACACTAGAGAATTTCAAAATCCCTGGCACATATGACTACAGCAACCACTAAATACAGTCCAACCCAGATTAACATAAAACCTCACACTGCAAACCTACCTGTCTTGCCCCAGGATAATTGCTGGACTGCTAACTACTAGGTCAGAGGTTCGATCCAACCAGCTGCTCCTTGGAAACCCTACACGGGGTCGCTATGAGTCAGAACTGATTCCATGACATTTAACAGCAACAGTATCCAATATGCTGTATTATGTTCAGCTTTCAACAAAAACATATACGGCAGGTAAAATCACAGTCTGAAAAGACAAAGCAAGTGTCAAATCAGACTCAGATATGGCACAGATTTTGGAATTATCAGACAGAATTTTAAATAACTTTGATTAATTTGTTAAGAGCTCAAATGTTAAAAGATAACAGCATGTGACAAACCAAGGCCATATAAGTAGAGAGATGGAAACCCTAAGAAAGATCAAAAGGCAATGCTAGAAATAAAAACGTCATCATAGAAATGAAAAATGTCTTTGATGGGTGCATCAATAGAATGCACATGGAAAAAGAAAGAGTCAGTGAGCTTGAAAATATGTCAAGAGCAATTTCTCAGATTGAAAAATAAGAAAGAAGGGAAATAACAACAACAAAACCCAGAAAATGCAAGAACTTGGAATCGTTTCAAAAGGTGCAACATATTCATAATAAGTATATTACCAGAAGGAGAAGAGAGAATGGGAAAGAAATACTTGAAATAATAACAATCAAGATCTTTCCAAAATTAATGACAGACATCAAACAGATCCAGGAAACTCAGAGAACATCAAACAAGACAAATAAAAATATATACCAACATATGTCACACTCAGCTGCAGAAAACCAAGACAATCATGAAAGAAGCCAGAGGAAACAAACTACCTTCTACAAGTTCCCTTCTTCATGGATACTTCAGAATCTTTAAATTCTATTTTTCCACGAACTATTTGAAGCTACCTTGTATATAGAGAATAAGGATAGAATTGTAGAGGGCTTCTATTAATTCTTCTCAGAAACCATGCAAGCAAGTAACAAGTGTAGTAAAGGATTTAAGGTATTGAAAAGTTAAATCCATCTACCAGCAAAATCATTCTTAAAAAGTGAAAAAAAGAAAAATGAGTTTCTTAGATACATACACACCATACACACATAATATCAAGGGAATTCATTGCCAGCATATTTACCCTGCAAAAAAATTAAATTCTTCAGGGAGAAGGAAAATGAAAATAGTCAAAAACACCAATATGCATTAAAAAAAAAAAAAAAAAAGGAAAATCAATGGAGAAGGAATAAATGAATGTAAAGTAAAATAGATTTTTCTTATTCTTAATTGATCTAATGATTCATGTTTGTTCAAAGTAAAGTTTAATAATAATACATGTTTGTTCAAATAATAGTAATAATACATTGTGTGACTACAGCATATAGATTATTGTTGTTGTTACTGTTAAGTGCTGTCAAGTCGGTTCTGACTTGTAGGGAACTTATGTACAACAGAATGAAAACCTATGTTCAAGCCTGAGTTCTCCTGACCATCTTTGCTAAGTTTGAGACCTCTGTTGCCACTGCTCTGTCAATCCATCTTATTGAGGATCTTCCTTTTTCATTGACCCTCTACTTTACTAAGCATGATGTCCTTCTCCAGGGACTGATCCCTCCTGATAACATGCCCAAAATACATGAGCCAGCCTTGCTTCTGAAAAGCATTCTTGACTGTACTTTTTCCAAGAAAGATTTGTTCGTTCTTCTGGCGCACCATATAATATTCTTCACCAAAACCATAAGTCAAATGCATCAATTCCTCTTCAGTTTCTTTATACACTGTCCAGCTTTCACATGCACATGAGTTGATCAAAAATACCATGGGTTTGGGTCAAGAGCACTTTAGTTCTCAAGATGACATCTTTGCTTTTTAACACTTTTAAGAGGTCTTTTGCAACAGATTATCCCAATATAATACATCCGTTTGATTTCCTGACTTCTGTTTCAAAGACTGGTGGTTGTGGATCCAAGTAAAATGAAATCCTTAACAACTGCGATCTTTTCTCTGTTATCATGATGTTGCTTATTGATCCAGTAATGAAGATTTTTGTTTTATATGGAAGTGTAATCCATATTGAAGGCTGTAGTCAGTCTTTGTTCTTCATCAATAAGTGCTTCAAGCCTTCTTTACTTTCAGCAAGTGAGGTGGTTTCATCTGCTTACTTACTGTCAATTGTTAACCAGACTCCAATTCTGATGCCCGCATTCTTTCTCACGTAGACCACTTCTGATTACCTGCTCAACATATAGACTGAATTAAGTATGGTGAAAGGATACAATCCAGACACACACTTTTCCTGATTTTAAACTATGAAGTATTGCCTTGTTCTGTTCCAACAAATGGTCTACATACAGGTTCTGCATGAACAGAGTGAAGTGGTCTGGAATTCCCATTCTTCAAAATGTTATTCATAATTTGTTTTAATCCACACAGTCTGCTGTCTTTCCTTAAGCTTTAACAACACAGAGGTAAAGCATCTTTACTGAAAGCAATTATTTTGTCTGCGTTCAGTAAAGATCCATCTGACATAGCAATGAAATTCCTCATTCCAAGTGATCTTCAGAATCTGTCTTGAATTTCTGGCGGTTCCTGTCAATGTATTGCCGCAACCTTATGTAGTTGTCCTCAGCAAAATTTTACTTGCCTATGCCAGCTGCTCCTCCGAAACCCTGTACAGGGTTGCTAGAGTCAATTCCATGGCACTTCACAACAACAACAACAAATGATAACAATATTGTTCAATAATTTCCACATTCCGTTGGATCATCTTTCTTTGGAATGGCTATGAATAGGTCTTTCTTCCAGTTGGCTGGCTAGGTAGCTATCTTCCAAATTTCTTGGCATAGACAAGTGAGCATTTTCAACATTGTATCTGTCTGTTGAAACACCTTAACTGGTTAATTTCGTTAATTCCTGGAGTGGTGTTTCTGCCAATGCCTTCAATGCATCTTGGACTTCTTCCTTCAATATCATCAATTCTAAGTTTCGTATAATAACACCAAAATGGTTGAACACTGACCAATTATGTTTGGTACAGTGGCTCTGTGTGTTCCTTCCTTTTCCTTGTGATGCTTCCTCTGTCATTCACTATTTTGCCCATAGAAACCTTCAATACAGTTTTACAATTTGAGGCTTCAATTTTTTCTTAAGTTTATTCAGCTGAAAACGTTGAGCATGATCTTCCCTTTGACTTTTCTAACTTTTGGTTTTCAAACTTGCATATTTCATTATAATACTTTACTGTGTTTTTTTCTACCTGCCCTTTGAAATATTCTGTTAAGCTCTTTTAATTCTTTACTTATGCATAAATGAAAAAAAGACAGCAGTTTTATAATGGATAAAAGGGAGGAATTAGAAATACTCTGTTAAAAGGTACTTGTATATTTATACCCATAAAGTGTGTAAAATCCACTGCCATCAAGTTAATTCCGACTCAAAGCAACTGAATACAAGGTTTCTGAGACTGTAAATGTTTACTGGAGTAGACAGTCTCATTTTTCTCC